ATTTTTAACTTACTCAAAAAAATAATGTAACTGACTGTTGAATCAGAAGGTGATTGAACCATAATGCACGTGGCATTGCATTGTCAATTTTCCCCCAAGCTTGGATGTTGGGATAATAATAACAATTGGATCTTTTCCATTTATTGCTTCGAGAAAGCGAACCATGACCTTCCCCGCATAAGACAAAACTCGCCCACCCCTAAATGCGTCATTTGACCCCAACCGATCCCCCCACTCTCAAAGGTTATGGCCTTCCCCAGTATGCATCTTTTGCCCTTTTCATTGCTTTTACTGCATATTTCTGTGAAGTTTCCTGCCTTATTTATTTCAAATTCTTGAACGGTTCGGCGGACTAAGTCATTAAACCTGACTCCTATTTAGAAATATTGGAAAACACTGTACTTTCTCGGAGTTGTACAAGAATAATTAACTAGTCACACATCACTAACTTGTGTATATGTGCGTGCACTATTTCGTAGTAAACCCTAATCTCAACTCGACAATAATAATAATTTCCACACGTATTTACATTTTGAATGTCTCGATTACACTAAAAGAGTACTCTCATGTCAAACGAGCATGATGATTGGTTGATCTTTGGACAAGACGCTGGTCTCGTACTTTTTCAAAGTGATAAATTTTGTCAATTTACGATGATGGTTCTCAAATATAATAAATTAATCGATCCATATCCAGAGAGCTGATATTAAGCTCATATTTGGCACTCATTCTATTTCTCTTTCTTCATTTCAACCACACATTCTATTAATAAAATAATATTATAGCCTCCGTTTGGCACCCATTTTTTTCTTATTCTCATTCTTTTTCTCTTTCTTCATTTCAATCACACGTTCTATCAATAAAATAATATTATACATAAACCTAAAAATTCTCCTTACTTTTTAACCACACATTCTTCCATCAATCACTATTCAAAAACACATTTTTCTACTAAAATGGATGTCAAACACCTACATAAATCCAAAAATTCTCATTACTTTTTAACCACACATTCTTCCATCAATCACTATTCCAAAATTTATTCTTTCCCCAAAATGGGTATCAAACACAAGCTAAAATAAGATCACTATGCACAATTCTTTCTTCAAACATGATAAATTATGCCAATCCATGGTCGGAGAGATGATGCCAAAATAAGATTAAGAGTGTGTTTGGTAGGGATTTTTGGGGAAAAATTGATTTTTGAATAGTGATATAATGGGAAATGTGTGGTTGAAAAAGAAGAAAAAAGTATTGATGTGATAGAAAATATTATTTTATTGAAAAATGTGTGGTTGAAAATGAGAATTGATTTACTGTAGAAAATGAGAATCTGTACCAAACAGGCTCTAGAATCTCGCAATCTAATTTTCCATTTTCTTCAGATTTGTGAGTCTTTGGTTAGATTATATGTTTATAAACTAGTCGTACCTCATTTTCTTTCACACGGGCTCACAATTTTTACTTATTTTTAATTACAAATTCCTTGAAATTCATGGTTTACAAGCAATTATAAACTTTGACAAATATACCCTCATGGATCATAAAATCTTCTGCTTTATGATACTCTATACAAGTTGAGAAGACCAACTCTTCCGCACATATTGTTAGGCATTTAAATTCTAGTTTGAAATTTGAAATGGCAATTAATATTTCATTGGCATTTTTTCAAAATAATGTTGAGCTTTGTCAAGGTTAATGGTTTATTGACCTGGTAGCAGTGACAGATGCAGACATTTTGAGTTAATGGCACAATTAAACTTGCAAAAAAATTATGAAAAACATAAATAATTCCAAATCCATTACAAATCAATTTAATACAATGAAACAAACTATAAATGTATTCCAAACCCATTTTCTCTGACACTTTGAATTTTGGCCAAAGAAAAAATAATTTGAAATTATAAGTTACTGTCGTTAGATACCGATTACTTTTCTATTTTTAAAAACAAAATAAATTAAGTTGACCGGCTTCTTTTGTTTTTTTTTTTTAGTTACTAATCTATGACACAAATCAAAATTTTGGTGAATATATAACGGAATTATCTTGATTTTGAACTAAGGCAACAACATGAATGATGTAGAGCACATAAGTACGTAGCAGAGCTATCTTAAGTTTGAACTAAAGTAACAACATGAATTACGTAGCGCAGATAAATACGTAACAAAGTTATCTTAACTTTGAACAAAAGCAACAACGTGAATTATGTAGAGCGGATGACTAAAGTTTTCCCTTTTATAAACGGATGGATGATGAAAGTGGTCTTTTTAATAATGACATGTATGCTTTACAAAATTGTATACATATCTGATTCTCCAATCAATTGTTCTGCAATAATACCATACTAAAACCATGAAGATTCAACTAAGTTAAGCCAAAGATTCTCCGAGTAAGAAACATCTAGCCTCTAATAGAATCTTTGATTGGATTGAAAAGAATTTAGTGGAATGCGGAAGAATATACACCTAGAATATCTAAAATTTACAGTGAAGCCAACATTTTGAACTATATGTGGTGTTACATTAGACAATATTGGACAAACGTAGACGTATTTCAGTTGTTTATGGATGTCTTGAAAACGCATTTATTAAGTTAGATGATACTCAATGTAATAAGTAAAAGTTGCTTAACAAGTGGATCTCTTGATCTCAACTTACACTTTGAACTAGTTATTGAGTAATTTTTAAATTTAGTCAAGAAATAGTGAATTACTCAAGAAATGAAATTACTCATTAAATTTACTGCTCTTCATCTTGAATCTCTATTTCTTCTCAAAAAATAAATAATTTTCAAAAAAAAAAAACCATAATAAATATCAAAAAATAAAATGTTGGTGGGTCACTTGCCCCACTATGCCCCACCCCCTTCCGCCCCTGCCTGGCAGGCATTTGCTTTTCTTGTTAATTACGATTAGAGCAATTAAAAATTTCGGGGCTGTTCAAAGTGTTTTCAGTCTGGTCAATGATGGAAATTAATGGATTTTGGACCTAGCCCTGTTTGACAAGCAGGGGAAAAATAGAGTTTTAAAATTTAAATAGTGAATTTTGGAAGAATGTGTGGGGATCTTGTTACGTGTACATAAGAGTTATATAATGTGTTATATAATGTCACATGACATTCTATAATTTGTCAATTTAAAATGGAATTAATTTTTTTCATCCAATCTTTTTTCCTACATCATATTATGTAACCCTTTATGGACAATTTTAACGTACAAGTAGCAAAATCAGTTAAAAAGTAGGAATTTTTTTTTTTTTTAATTGTGAATGTGTAGTGAAAAATGAGTACGTAGAAAAAATAGTAAAAATAATGGTTGTCAAATTGTATTGCTGAAATTGTTCAAAACCACGGTGTCCCAAAGTCAAAATCCACACAAATTTGCTGCATTTACGCTTATCTTTTAATGAAATTCAAACATGTGAATAAGTCTTCTGTTGTTTAAACCTCTTGCAGTTAGGGCACAGAAAAAATGACACGATAGTACGAATTCTTCTCAAGAAATAAATAATTTTCAAAAACAAAAAAAAAAAAAAACATAATAAATATCAAAAAATAAAATGTTGGTGGGTCACTTGCCCCACTATGCCCCACCCCCTTCCGCCCCTGCCTGGCAGGCATTTGCTTTTCTGCATTTGCTTTTCTTGTTAATTACGATTAGAGCAATTAAAAATTCCGGGGCTGTTCAAAGTGTTTTCAGTTTGGTCAATGATGGAAATTAATGGATTTTGGACCTAGCCCTGTTTGACAAGCAGGGGAAAAATAGAGTTTTAAAATTTAAATAGTGAATTTTGGAAGAATGTGTGGGAATCTTGTTACATGTACATAAGGGATATATAATGTGTTATATAATGTCACATGACATTCTATCATTTATCAATTTAAAACGGAATCAATTTTTTCATCTAATCTTTTTTCCTACATCATATTATGTAACCCTTTATGGACAATTTTAACGTACAAGTAGCAAAATCAGTTAAAAAGTAGGAATTTTTTTTTTTTTTATTGTGAATGTGTAGTGAAAAATGAGTACGTAGAAAAAATAGTAAAAATAATGGTTGTGAAATTGTATTGCTGAAATTGTTCAAAACCACGGTGTCCCAAAGTCAAAATCCACACAAATTTGCTGCATTTACGCTTATCTTTTAATGAAATTCAAACATGTAAATAAGTCTTCTGTTGTTTAAACCTCTTGCAGTTAGGGCGGTCTTTTTTACTGTGCTATCATGCTTACCATAACGAGCATACAAATTGATGCCAATAGCTCGAAAGATAAGCAGCTGATGTGATCATGTTGAAGCATAACAAGTCAATGGCGGAAAAATGTTTCTAACCCAGTGGATTAATTCGCAATTACTTGCTCTAGTCTCTAGATGTCTATCAAGTTTGAATATTATTATTTATTTATTTTCACTTTATATTAGCTTTATTATAATTGATTAATTGTTGGTGTTCATGTCAAAAATTGTATCTAAATGTACACGAGCTCGAACTGCATGGACTCGAGCTGAAATCATAAACAAAGCTTTTAATAACTTGAAATAAAGGCATGGAGTGTTGATTATGTAGTTCTCCGAAATTTAAGTCCGTGAATAGATTAAGCTAATATAAGTATAGAACTATAAACGGAATATTGCAAAGTGTACCCAAATAATGAATTGATGGTTTATATTTATAAAGAGTTTGTGGTGTAATCATAGGAAGATTAGGACACGTGTGGATCTTTCATGATCCGATGGACCGAGAGATCCTACCGAACCCAGGAGTCCTTGTATAATCGTATTGAGTTGTAATATGACTCCCCAATCCAGTCTTGTTGTACTTAGGAGAGATAGAGCCCAAGGTGAGCATGTCACTTTGGAGATCAAGGACAAGGACCCCGTCTTTATATGAGGTTAGGAACATGGCCATATGAAGGGCGATTGTACCAAGAAGGTCGAGGATGTTTGGATTGGTGAGTCACAGCATACGATTAGGATGTCATATAGGTCAGACCTTGAAGATGACCTATGATGAGCTGAGTGAAAGGCCAGGGATCCCATCCTTGTAACTTTGTTAGTGGCTAAATCTATAGCGATCGAGGCTCTCTACCATTGATATAGGTTAACACATGGATTTTTGGCTTACTCTTAATCTATTATAGACAATGATCAAGAGAAGGTGGACTCAAAGGTAAGCTCGGACCTTGACAAGCCACTAGAAATAAGTTCAAATCTTCATTATGAGCCTACTAGACCTTAGTTATGTTCTGAAGATCATAGTGCTATAAATTGATGCCACTCTAAAATCCAATTGTTAACAATGAACAATTAGCCAAGGCTACGCACTATTACTGTCAAGTCGTGTGTATACGAAGAAGCACCCACTGTTCAAATCGACTAATTTGATTTTTCAAGTGTTGATCTTTACCTTAAGAACCGTGTATGCCAAAAGTTAATAGTTAAAGACATCGACAAATAGAGCTCTAAATATATAGTTGGACACACATTACTAAATTGTAATAGAAATATTCCTATGACACGATGAATATCATACAATTTCAACTGTTTCTCTATCATCTTCAAACTGATTTAGGTATCAAACAACATGAGTAGCAATTACTCTCCCTACGTTTGGTTCTCTTGCCACTTGCTTTCCTCTTTTCGGTTCCTAAACATGAAGATACACAAAGCTAGTTAGAGTGGGTTATTATGCCTAATAAATTTAATGGTAGACAAATAAGAGGATAGAATGTGTTTAATGTAATTGTTTGACTTTGTATAATCGCATCGAAAGTTAAGTTGACTTTAAAAAGTTACTTAGAACTTGTTTGGTAGAGATTAAAATCGGATTAAAATTGAAAAATTAGCCGTTATTGTTGACTTTTATTAGACGAGTGGGACCCAATAACGACTATATTTTCAATTTTAATTAGATTTTAATTGCTACCAAACAAGATCTAAACAAATTAATGTAAAAGCTAATATTACATAGTTTAAAGAAAAACTTGTATCAAATTAAGTGCCAAGATTTGTGAATTTCTTGACTTTACGCCTTTTCAATTTTAGGACATGTACGGTAGAGATTAAAATTGGATTAAAATTGAAAAATTAGCCGTTATTGTTGACTTTTATTAGACGAGTGTGACCCAATAACGACTATATTTTCAATTTTAATTAGATTTTAATTGCTACCAAACAAGCTCTTAAATACAAATAATGACAATTTTTATTTTTTTTAACTAAACATATTCTAAATGTGTTCATTATATAACATCTTAAATTTTTAAATGAATCGATTCAATAATATAAATACAAAATAATTAAATATTGAGTCATGGTAAATCGCATAAGACGTAATCCCCATCGCGTAGGATAGAATCTAACCATGGTTAGACCTCCCGCAGTTAAGACTTGGTTAAAGGTGGCCACGGAGTGCTATAAATCGGACCCATTGGCTACCATTTTCTCATCACCTTCACTTCAATTTCCTTCACCGCACTCTACTTTGATGGTCGAGTCTTTATTTTTCACTCAATTCTTGCAATAGCATTCTATTTCTGTTCTCTTCTTCTCCACTGTGTCTACAATTTCTGGTAAATCTCTCTCTAATCCACCCTCAAAAGATCTGGTTTTCTTCAGCTATAATTCTATATCATAGAGTTACTGCTGTGCTTAAAATTGACAATTTACTCGTTTTTCTCCTCGCCACTATCTGTATTTTGCAGAGAGAAGAAATGGCGGCGAATGCCAGTGGACGTGTGAACATGGCGGCGATCGGCGGAACTGGCCGGAACGGACTGGCCAAGATTCATACAGAGAAAAAAGCAGAGGGGATATGCCACGACGATAGTACGCCGCCGGTGAAGGCTCATACTATTGATGAACTTCATTCTCTTCAGAAGAAGAAATCTGCTCCCACCACTCCCATTAATGGGATTCAAGGTCCTTTTACTGCCCTCTCAGAAGAAGAACGCCATAAACTGCAGCTGCAGTCCATTAGGTACAAAATAATATTATTGTTTATTAATTTTCCTTGTGAAAATTTAGATGAAATTTTTATCATCGTTTAAGGTGAAATTATAACAATATTATTTATCTCCATTACATATGATTAACTTTTTATTTAATGAAATGATTAGGCCAATTAAACATATAGAAATGCATTTATCTCATCATTTAGGCTCTGTTTCATCTCATCTTTTGGGAGAATAAATTTTATAATTGAAAAATATTAAATTTACGTGTAAAATTATTTTATTTGGATAATATGTAATTAAAAATAATTTTGAAAAAAATATTTTTTAGAGAGGAGACTCAAAGATGGGCTTAGTATTGCATCACATGATAATTATATATAATGAAGATAAATAGGATTGTTATGTATTTACCAATTGACTGTGCAAGAAAAAGCATTAAATTATTAATCTAATAAAATGTAAAGATACTGAAAAATATGCTATATGTACATAATTTTATGTATATAAGAGTGTCCATACCCTCACATGTGATGATACTAACTCCGAAGTGGACCTCATTCCATGTGAGAGTGTTGACTTCTTTATGTACATAAAATTACGTTCATACAGACAAACCCTTAAAGTAGGGGTGTTCAAAAGTTCCGAATCGAACCGGACCCGAACCGAACCGAACCGAACCGAACCGAGCGGTTCTTCATAAATTAAATACCCGAACGGGTACCCGAATCGAGAACCGATGGGTTTGGGTCGGGTCTCGGGTCTAGACCAAGAACCGAAGAACCGAATAAGAACCGAAACTAAATAATTTTTTTATTTTTTATATTGAATTAATTAAATTATTTTATTTTTTTCTAAACAAATTAGCAAATTAATTAAATAAATCAAATTATTT